GGATGAGTTCATGTCCTTTGCAAGGGACACGGATGAAGCAAACTAACACAGGAACAGAAAACCAAACACTGCATGTTCTCACTTAAGTGGGAGTTGAACAATGAGAACACATGGACACAGGGAGGGGAACATCACACACGAGGGCCTGTCAGGGTATTGGGGGCTAGGGGAGGGATAGCATTAGGAGAAATACCTAATGTAGATGACAGGTTGATGGGTGCAGTAAACCACCATGCACATATATACCTATGTAACAAACCTACACATTCTGCACCTATATCCCAGAACCCAAACTATAATTTTAAAAAAACAATGCTAACTTTGGTGGAAGTGTCCCCGATGTGTCTTTTTTATAGGCAGAGCAAGGATCCTCCTAGACAAATAACAGGTAGCTTTCCTTCCTTCCCATCTGGTGCTTAAGGGCGCTAGAAACAGGGAGCAAACACAACCACTCACAGCAAAGAGATTTATGTTTAGACAAGGCGAGGAACAAGATGCCTAAGCTGTCTGCCCTGCTGAGCAGAGACAGGAGTCCCCTGCTCCCCTCTCTCTAAGGCCATCACCTTGGGCTGCCTCTTGAGAAATAAGTACTGATCAAAAAGCGTACCATCTACTAAAGAGAAGATACTCATCCTCATTTGTCAGCAGGGAAATAAGGATTAAAATGGCAATGAGCCGGGTGTGGTGGCTCACACCACTAATCCCACCACTCTGGGAGGCTGAGGTAGGAGGATCACTTAAGGTCAAGATCAAGAGTCCAAGACCAGCCTTGGCCAAAAAGGTGAAACCTTGCCTCTACTAAAAATACAAAAATTAGCAGGGTGTGGTGGCGTGCAACTGTAGTCCCAGCTACTCTGGAGGCTGAGGCAGGAGAATTGCTTGAATCTGGGAGGCAGATTACAGAGACATGAGATTGTGCCACTACACTCCTGCCTGGGCAACAGAGCAAGACTCTGTCTCAAAAAATAAAAAATAAATAAAATAAAATGACAGTGTGATATATTACACCATCAAAAGGGTTAGGAAGACAATACCATGGTTGGGGAAGATGTGAAACAACAGAACTCTTAGACATTACTCCTGTTTTGGAAAACTGTGTGATACTACCTCTACATACCTATAACCCAGCAATACCACTCATAGGTATAAACCCAACAGAATTTCCCACATTTACCAAAGGGCATGTATGAGAAAGTTCACAGCAGCACTAATAGTGACAGCCAAAACTGGAAGCAAGTTGAAGGTCCATCAACAGAATATTTTTTCTTTTTTTTTGTTTTCTTTTTTTTTGAGACATAGTCTTACTCTGTCTCCCAGGCTGGAGTGCAGTGGTGCAATCTAGGCTCAGTGCAACCTCAGCCTCCTGGATTCAAGCAATTCTCATGCCTCAGCCTTTTCAGTAGCTGGGATTACAGGTGCCTGCCACCACACCCAGCTAATTTTTGTACTTTTAGTAGAGACAGGGTTTCACCATGTTGACCAGGCTTGTCTCAAACTCCTAACCTCAAGCAGTCTGCTTGCCTTGGCCTCCCAAAGTGCTGCGATTATAGGCGTGAAGCACCGTGCCAGCCAGAATAAATTATTGGCATATAATGAAATACCGTACAGGAAGAAAATGAACAAACCACTGCTACAAGCAACAACATGGGTGAGCTATTAACATAATGATCAGCAAAAGAAGCTAGACCTAAGAGGGTACTAAATGGTAGGATTCCATGGATGATGTTGAACATGGACAGTAATAACTGATAGTGATAGACTGTCAAGGCATAAGTTATGTTTGTCCCAGGATGAGGAAAGTGACCTGGGAGTGTGAGGAGTATTGTGGTATCTTAGTAATGTTCTGCTTATTTGGGTGGTGGTGACAAATATGTGTTCACACTTAGCTATAGATGTCCATGCACTTTTCTATAGGAATGTTGTATTATTTAGATGGTTTCTTACGAGTATGCCAAAACAGGGAAATCAAGAAAGAAAAGCACACATTCTGTCTTCAGGAAACCAAGAGACATCTGTAATTTCAATGACTATGAAAAAGGACAGCTGGCCGGATGCCGTGGCTCACGCCTGTAATCCCAGCATTTTGGGAGGCTGAGGTGATCAGGTCACAAGGTCAGGATATCGAGACCATTCTGGCCCACATGGTGAAACCCCACCTCTACTAAAAATACAAAAATTAGCTAGGCAGGGTGGCACATGCCCATAATCCCAGCTACTTGGGAGGCTGAGGCAGGAAAATTACTTGAACCAGGGAGTTGGAAGTTGCAGTGAGCCAAGATTGTGCCACTGCACTCCAGCCTGGTAACAGAATAAGACTTTGTCAAAAAAAAAAAAGACAGCTGATGGAATAATAATAAATAGCGAGAGCATATCATCATAGGAAGCAAGATTATCTGCACTCTCTTTAAATTTAAAAAAAAAAAAAAAATGTAATGGAGAAGAATTGGAGGCCTCACGTGCCAGGGAAAAACAGGGATTGGAAGTTCATGTAAAAAGTTCATGTAAAAAGTAGAATTAACAAGACCAGAAGTTATGTATCTGGAGAAGCAACCTCAGAAACTCACAACTCCAGCCCCCTGGCACTTGGAGAGGGGATGACCAGACCAAACATGGGAGCAAAATAAAATCTGTCTATTGAACATCCCAACCCCTTTCCCAGTGCCACTCCAGCTTTAGACTGTAGACCCTAAGACCTCTCTCTGAACTAACTCAGAAAAGACCTACAGAGATTGACATCTAGGGATCGCCAGTGAAAATGCCACATAATTGACTGCCCTACAGTGAAAGCCAGCAATTGAGGAGAGTTGCTCTTAGTGCCCTACTCGTACATACATAGCCAGCCAAGAAGTATCAGAAGGAAAATTCTACAACATAAAATACTGAAGTGAAAATAACTCCTAGGAAATGGACAACACAAAGCATAGAATATACAAAAAAAACAATTATGCTGCAAAAGTACAAGAAAAAGTATCCATTAAATAGGCGGGAAAAAAAGACTGTGAGAGGATAAAAGAAGTTTTGAAAATTACTACCAGAGGCCAGGCATAGTGGCTAACACCTGTAATCCCAGCACTTTGGGAGGCTGAGGTGGGTGGATCACCTGAGGTCACAAGTTTGAGCCAGCCTGGCCAACATGGTGAAATCCTATCTCTATTAAAAATACAAAAATTAGCCAGGCATGGTGGCAGGTGCCCGTAATCCCAGCTAATTGGGAGGCTGAGGTAGGAGAACTGCTTGAATCTGAGAGGCAGAGATTGCAGTGAGCTGTGATCGTGCCACTGCACTTCAGCCTGGGCGAGACTCTGTCTCAGAAAAAAAAAAAAAATTATTATCAGAAATAAACTTAATATAAGGATGAAAGGATAAAGCTGAGGAAATCTCCCATAAAGTAAAAGACAAATAGAAAAATGAACAGTCTAAGAGGGCCAACATCCAACTGTAATTGGAAATCTGCAAAGAAGAGAATAAACAGCAAATAAATTGCCAACATAATAACAGGAGAAAATTCTGAAAAACATAAAGACGACTTAAGTTCCCAGAATGAAAGTGCTAAGTGTCACCCTGAATGGAAAAATAATCCACACTAACATACAATATGGAGAAATTTCAAAATACTAGGGATAGAAGAGATCCTAAAAAGCTTCAAGGGAGACCAATTACATGTCAAGTCAGAAGGAATGGCATTCATTGGACTATAAAAACTAGAAAGTAAAAGTGAGGCTTTCAGGAGACTTCTAATTTTAGCTAAGATAGATTAGCAGGAATCAGACAGCTTTTTTTTAAAAGAGAATATTAAATAAAAAGTATCAAACAGGCCAGGTGCATTAGCTCATGCGTGTAATCCCAGCACTTTGGGAGGCCAAAGTAGGAGGATCACTTGAGGTCACGAGTTTGAGACCAGCCTGACCAACATTATGAAACCATCTCTAGTAAAATACAAAAATTAGCCCACTGTGGTGGTGTGTACCTGTAATCCCAGCTACTCAGGAGACTGAGGCAGGAGAATCGCTTGAACCCGAGGTGGAGGTCACAGTGAGCTGAGGTCGCACCACTGTACTCCAGCCTGGGCGACAGAATGAGACTGTGTCTCAAAAAAAGGTGTGAAACCAACCAACCCACTGCTATTTCACCAATGTCTAATCCAATCAAAGGCAGGTGGGGAGAGTTTTACTTTCTGGCAGGTCTATCCCCATACCCCGAAAGACAGTTAATGGCAACATGACTGTTGGCCCAGCTAGGAAGAGGACTCAGTGCTGTCCTGGGTCCTTCCTCCCAACTTTTTGAAGTCCCAGAGGGATTTCAATGACACCAGAAGCCATGCAAGTCTGAATGCCTCCAGTTTCTTTCCCCTGACACATGAAAGTCTAACTAATGTGATTTTGTTTTACTGAGGTGTAACTGACATACACCAAAAGATCTAACCCTACTGTGTATCGTGTGTGTGTGGGGTGGGGGGTGTGCATGCATACACGCAGTTTTCTCTCAGGATAATTCTTTTCAGAGTCCTGCCTCTGCAAAAAACTGGCCGCATGGTTCCTGTCTAGTGTTCCATCTATGAAGTAGAGCAGTTCTTCCTACCTTTCCCTCCCTAACAGGTTGCTGGAAGAACTATAAAGGAGCTCAAAATAACCTATGGTGCTCCATGGTCTTATGCAGACTGAGACGCTGAGGGGTAACAGCTAATCCTGCTAGGGCTCAACTCCTCTCAGGATGGAGGCTTTTAAAGAATCTGCCTTTCTCTATTCAGAGGCACCACTCTAGCCCCCAATCATCACTGGAGCTGCAGCAAGCCTGTCAGTTTCCTCAGAAGTCCAATTTAAAACACTATACCTTTAATGCCTATGTACTCCAAGAAGGGGCTCACGGTGGAGCTGCGAGGGTTACTAGAGTCTCGGAGAAAGCCCAGCCCTGCTCACCCCAGGGCTGACTCCAGCCCACCCTGGCCTCCTTGCAGTCCCCTGGCCTCCCTGCAGTCTCTAAAGCATACAGGAGAACAAGACTGAGCTCAACTCCAAGTACAAACTTTATTTCTATTACAAGGAAGTTAATAATTATTATAATAGTAAAATAAAAACAAGGAGAAGGGGCTCTGACACTTGGTTTTCAGAGCAAGCATGGGGCTGCGACAGAGCCCAGCATAGCCCCTGTGGGGACAGGGAGCCCTCAGACCTCCCCATTAGAGAACAGTAAGGACAAAAGATCCATCCCCCCCCCCACCAGGAACAGAAGGCAGTGTTGCCAAATGCCAAGGAAGCAGCTTAAAACACAGCCCCCAGTCCACTCACCTTCAGCTCAATCCATCTTCAAAAGCCTTGTTACTGACAGACATTGCAAGTGGCCTGAGCACCTTACCAGAGCGCCTCACACACACCTGGGGCCCAATCGAGTGTGGACAGAGGCAGTACAGGGAGAGGTTGCCCAAAAGCCCCCAAATTTAGGCCCCAACAGGGCAGATAATCACTTCACTGGTGAGTACCAGTTTTCCAAAATCTTCCCCTCCTTCTACTGGGACCGCACAGCACCAAGGGGCAGTGGCGACAGTAAGTCAAAAGGGGGCCCTGGCAGCCAAGAGGCTGCAATTTGTATTTCACTACTGCCGAAAGGTGGCAGCTAAGGCTGAAGTGTTCCTCAAACGCCACCCTGCTCCCTTCCCTCAAACCCATACACAACCTCAAAAGACACAAAATGGCCATAAACTAGAAAAAACTAAAATCTGGAAAATCTCTCCCACCCAAACAGCCAGAGAGGTGGGTCTGCACGGCGGCAAGTGCTGCTATACACAGAAGACAGGAACCGATGTAAAGTCTCTGGAAACACCATTACTCCTCTTCTTCCTCCTCCGCATCCCCAGCTCCCTGTTGCTTGGAGGGCTTTGCCTGGTGAACAACACAACACAAAGTTTTATGTAAAAAGTAAAAGAACATGCTGGGCATGGTGGCTCATGCCTATAATCTTAGCACGTTTGGGAGGCTGAGGCAGGTGAATCACCTAAGGTCAGGAGTTCAAGACCATCCTGGAAAACATGGTGAAACGCTGTCTCTATTACAAATACCAAAAAAGAAAAAAAAAAAAAAATAGCTGGTACACACTTGTAATCGCAGGCTGAGGCAGGAGAATCACTTGAACCTGGAGGTGGAGGGTGCAGTGAGCCAAGATTGTGCCATTGCACTCCAGCCTGGAGGACAAGAGCAAAACTCTATCTCAAAAAAAAAAAAAAAAAAAAAAAGTGAAAAGAGCAGTACTCCTCCCCTGGATCCCTGAAAACGTCCCGCTTCCTTAGAAACCCCTCCTCAAATGCCAAAGGAACAGTCCTTCAGCCACAACCAGCCTGGTCCCAGCAACTTCTACAACTTCAGGAGCCACACCAGCCCCACCATGTCTGAGCACCCTCTGAGCATCATGACCCGGAGCCCATGTTACCTTTGTAGTTCTGCTGCGGTAGTTGGCAGCTACAGGGGTGACCCGGGAATTCCTGCCACCTTCACTCCTACCACTGAAAGAAAACAATTGAAAACTTGCTCCTGAGGTGCCACTGTGCAAAGGTCAGAAAATTCAGAAGTAACAGGAAGCAGCCCTATACCAGCAGACAAAACAAACCCCCAAGACCCCATGGACCACAAAATAAATTTTGGAGTCAGGTGACAACACAGAAAAAATCCACATCCTCCCCTTACCATGCAATGACCTCAGTCTTACCCCAGGCCCAGCCAGGGTAACCAGACCTTTGCCCATATTCACTTCGGCTACTCCCAAGCCCCATTCCTGGGCTACTGATTCTTACCTAGCTCCGTATCTCCCTGCAGGCGCACAAGGGAAAGAGGGAACAACGTTTTCTGGGTAGAGATTTTGAGGAGGGCGAATCACTGAAACGTGCCCAGGGGCTATGGCCCCATTCTGGCTGTTTCTATTCCGTCCCCGGATGTCCTGGCTGTCTGAGTTGTTGAGCTTCAGCACACGAGGAAGGCTGGGCTGGCACCCAAGTCTGGGGCCTGATGTTGATCTCGACAGCCGGTTATAGGTAGCTGTCATATTGTTAATGGGTCGGCTGGGAGGCAGACAAGAGGTGGGCCCATTAGCTGTTTCCTGCTTAATATCATCCAGGTAACCAGAAGACAGGTCTCCTGAGAAGAGAAAATGGCAACAGCTTTAGGGAAAAGCCTGCTCTGGCTATAGTGCCAGGTTTAGGGCAGGAACAAAAAGATTCTGGATAGAAGACTGCACAGCTGGGCGTGGTGGCTCATACCTGTACTTTGGAAGGCCGAGGCGTGTGGATCACCTGAGGTCAGGAGTTTGAGACCAGCCTGGCCAACATGGTGAAACCCCATCTCTACTATTAAAAAAATATATAAAATTAGCCAGGTGTGGTGGCACATGCCTGTAGTCTCAGGTAATCAGGAGGCTGAGACCCGGAGAATCACTTAAACCAGGGAGGCAAAAGCTGCAGTGAGCCAAGATACGCCACTGCACTCCAGCCTGGGCAAGACCAAAAAAAAAAAAAGAAGGCAACTGCTCACCCAAAAGGCTACTGGAAACCACATCTTCTCCAGGGCAGAGTTGGGGATATTTTATCTACTCTGCACATATTATCTGAGTCCTCAAAGACAGCCTCCTAACTATTCAACAATAGCGTACAAGCAAACCTTGAAAAATCGTTTTGTTTTGGTTTTTTTTGACATGGAGTCTTGCTCTGTTGCCCAGGCTGGAGTGCAATGGCGCAATCTCAGCTCACTGCAGCCTCTGCCTCCCGGATTCAAGCGATTCTCCTGCCTCAGCCTCCCGAGTAGCTGGGACTACAGGTACCCACCACCATGGATGGCTAATTTTTGTATTTTTAGTAGAAACAGGGTTTCATTATGTTGGCCAGGCTGGTCTTGAACTCCTGACCTTGTGATCCGCCCACCTTAGCCTCCCAAAGTGCTGGGATCACAGGCATGAGCCACCATGCCCAGCTGAAAAATACTTTCTTTTTTTTTGAGACGTAGTCTCGCTCTGTTGCCCAGGCTGGAGTGCAGTGGCGTGCTCTCGGTTCACTGCAACCTCCACCTCCTGGGTTCAAGAAGTTCTCCTGCCTTAGCCTCCCAAGTAGCTGGGACTACAGGCTCGAGCCACCACATCCAGCTAGTGTTTTTAGTAGAGACAGGGTTTCATCGTGTTAGCCAGGATGGTCTCAATCTCCTGACCTCGAGATCCACTCGCTTTAGCCTCCCAAAGTGCTGGGATTACAGGCGTGAGCCACTGCGCCAGGCCAAATTTCTAATTGGCTTTGTAGTGGTGAGGTTGCAAAAACAATTTACTTGCCTAGACTTGAGGCTCTTAAATAGTAAGTTTGAGGCTGGTGTGATGGCTCACACCTGTAATTCCAACGCTTTGGGAGGCTGAACTGGGAGGAACACTTGAGCCCAGGAGTTCAAGATCAGGCTGAGCAATGTGGCGAAACCCTACAAAAAAATGTTTAAGGCCGGGCACAGTGGCTCACACTGTAATCCCTGCACTTTGGGAGGCCGAGGCAGGCGGATCACTTGAGATCAGGAGTTTGAGATCAACCTGGCCAACATGGTGAAACCCTGTCTCTACGAAATATACAAAACATTAGCTGGGCATGGTGGTGGGCACCTGTGGTCCCAGCTACTCGGGAGGCTGAGGCAGAAGAATCACTTGAACCCAAGAGGCGGAGGTTGTGGTAAACTGAGGTCACGCCATTGCACTCCAGCATGGGAAATAGAGCGAGACTCTGTCTCAAAAAAAAATTTTTAAATAAAAAGTAGCTGGGTGGGGTGGTGGGCCCCCAGCCTATAGTCCCAGCTACCCAGGAAGCTAAGGGAGGGAGAATCACTTGAGCTCAGGAGGTTGGGACTGTGGTGAGCTGTGATCACGCCACTGGACTCCAGCCTGGAAGACAAAGAGATCCTGTCTTTAAAAAAAAAAAAAAAAAAAGAGGGCCAGGTGCGGTGGCTCACGCCTGTAATCCCAGCTACTCAGGAAGCTGAGGCAGGAGAATTGCCTGAACCCAGGAGGCGGAGGTTGCGGTGAGCTGAGAT